TAAAGTTACAGTTGTCGCTAAGATCGCTAACTCAGTCATAATCATTCATATAATCCGTACTACTGCAGGCACCCAACTATTGACCTCCAGGCGCTGCCATGTGTACAAAGAACAAATAAATATTCTGAATAACTTAAGCGAAGGAATTAACTAGGCCAACGAAGTCTAAAAATATCCAGGAGTGTTTTGACAAGTTGCACTTTGTGATAGATTTTTCGAGTATTAAAGAGAAGCCCGACATAAAGTTCAGTTGGACTTCATCAAAGGTCGCCCTATATTACTTGGAAAAACTACTCAGCAAGACTTTCCAGCAGTATTCATATACTAGGAATTTAGTAATTGATGCAAATGCATACGCTTCCTAGTGTACGGATCAGGGACCGAAGATAACACAGGCGCCTGCAATTACAGATAAACATGTATGCCAAGAAGGCGCAGCGGAGAGGAAAGACGGTTCGCATCTGGCACACTAGACTCTCATTGGTTGATTGCTGCGTCCTTGGTGCCAGCCCAAAGTACTGAAAAATTGCGTTACAAATGCAAACTGTGAAAGAGAGAGGCTGGAAAGTTGGACGCTAGAGGTAACGCTGCCAAAAGCGCGCATTGAAAACAAAGTCGAACCGGTCTCCCGCTAAACGACTTGAGTCTTTCGAGTTTCGCCTTTTGCCTTGAAAATGATTATTTGGTTTGCTTGAAAATCGGCTATCCCAGTTTCCATGGCAGTGTGAGAGGAATTTCGATTCCATGTGATGCATTTCCAGGTCCCTGACTCGACTTGCATGTGCTTGAGGCAGGTCTTCAGCGTGTGCTTGTAGCGACGCTCTCGTCTGTCTCGTCTGCGAGTACCCAAAGCGACATCGGCATTGAATATTCATCTAGACAGACGCTTGTCATATATCATCAGCCTTTGGTTGCTTTAACGCAGTTTCAACTGCCTCAGCAGGATGCTGATACTGACGACGCCTATTATTTCCAGGCCATCCATATCCTGGCTTTAATATTTTTTGTAGGCAGACGAAATAGAGGTAATTGGCTTTTTTGCTTAGATTTGCTTATTTGGAGCAACCAGAAATAAATGGGTCCACACATATCTGCGAGAGCCTGAGACGTCGGACGCATAAATTGTCGCTTCCAGGAATCACTTTCACTTGTTCATATTCCATACAATTACTTTGTTTTGCCTGTTTACTGCAGCTCGTTTTATACATGACCGTTTTTCATATCACACTGCACATTTTATAGACGTAAACCGGATACTGTGCGGTGTTTGTCTACTCCTTCCAAAATTAATTGAAAAATGCATTTTACTTACCGCGAAAGTACCCGTATAGGTACTAAGTAAAACAGTATATAGACAAAATAGCGTATGACTATTTCTGGCTTTTTAGCCGTCTTCAGCCAGTCATTCCCAACCTCGAGTTGGGAAACGCCTGGAGCTCTAGCCCGAGACCTGTTGGTTAAAAGTCCAACGCCCGTCAACATTAAGTCACGGGCTCGTTGTCCTGTCGGTTGCGATCGGGCATGTACAATGGTAGAGGGGCGCTCGCCGATCGTGTAACGGAACTCACTCTCTAGCCCCACCAGCAACCGCACAGCGACAGAGTAACAGCGCCGACAAAGAGAAGGGAGACTGGAATGGCCGTTCCTGACTTATTACCTGTCATCAGCCAGTCATACCCTACCTCGGGGTATATATATGTATTTATTACATGAGCAGCTTACTGGAAATGCAACAGGTCAGACACAGACAGCTGTTTTACGGTCGTTATCGATCATCAGTACGTCATAGGTCACATGAAGTGAGGTATATAAACACGTCAAGTAAGCGTTTTTCAAAAGCTTACTTGAAATGTTTATATACCTCAGTTCAAATGGCTTACGACATACTGGTGATCGGTAACGACCGGGAAACTGCTTTCCGCGTCTGGCTAGTTGCACTCTTAGTGAGCTGCTTATGCATTATATGTGGTATGTGTCCTACGCCACAGCGTTCATTGTCGTCAATAAGAAGCTGGCGGGCGGAGAGAATGAGATCGAGTGAGATCCTGACTACAACTGTGAGGGTCAAACGATTACTTGACATATGTATCTATGTATATAATGGAATATCAACAAAAACAAGAATGACTGAATTAGCTACTTCTGGCTTACTCACCGTACGGTTTGAAGACACTTGCCATATCGTTCAGTGGTTGAGTCAGTTACTTTTTTGCACATTCCCGGCTTATTTTCCTCCCATACCCTCTGTCAGATCACTTACACTCTGTTTTTTTTTCTGAATAATAAATATTTGAATATTCCCCAAAGAAAGAAGTCTGGAGAACTGAGGTCTATGGACCTTTCAGGCCATCCCACGGCGCCGCCGACGCCTTTCCATCTACCTCGAAAATCTTCGGCAAACCATTCTGGGCAGGGAGACCATAATGAGCAGGGATGCAATCCTCTGAAAGTAAAAATCAGTGTAATCTGTCCGTTGACACACTATAAGCCACTAATTTCTATTTAACTATTTAGATATGACTCGGCTGTCCCTATATTATCAAAGAAGAACGGGTCAACTAAGACGCCACCCCAAAAGTGACACCAGGAAAATTATGCTCTTGTCGCATTAATCATGCGGATTTTAATATGACCAATAGATGCAGTTATGTCGAGTCATTCTTCCATTTATTTTGAAGCAGGCTTCGTCCGACCACATAATTAGACTCAGAAAGTCAGGGAAACCTTCGTATTCGGTCACGACAGTTTCAAAAAAGGGAATGGGCCTGCCTCCGCAGTCATCGTTAAGGGCGTAAAGTGTACGTAGACGATATTGGTGCAAGCCGGTAGCCGACATGATGCGTTGTAAGGACGATCGTGGTATGCCCAGCTCTGCAGAAGCAGGTATCTGAGATTTCCGAGGGTTGTTGAAGTATGATGCTGCTACTAAATCTTGATCGACAATGGTCCGTACTGTTCTTGACGCATCAGGTTTACCTATGTTGGCAGTGTTGCCATTTTGTTCAAAGTTTTGTATCAATTCGTCGACTGTTGATTTAGATGGAGGGGGGGGGGGGTGTATAAAATGCTTCTTTCCAATAATCGCTAACATCATAAGTCTGACTCGATGAATAAGTTTTTAACGTCAGAAAAGCGCTCTTCGATCTTCAGAGTGCGTCTTGTGCAGGCCATGTCTCAAATGCAAGTGGTTGACGATTAATGTAAAACTTGCTAAAATAAGGACAAGTTCATGTGCACTGAAAGTGCTATAAACGAGGTCAACTGAACCTCCATGAGCAAGGTTTACATTTTGGACATTTGCTGCAGCTTTATGTGATTAAACTTTATTCCACTTATTTGTAACTTGTAATAATAATTGGGGTTCGGTTACATCTTGGCCATCCTGTTTATGTATAGATAACAGAGTGCCGACAAAAGGAAGCTGGCCGAAATGACTATTTCTGACTTACTAGCCGTCATCAGTTAGTTATGCCCAATCCCAGGCGTGGGTCACCTGGGACTCTAATCCGGGATTCTCGGTCACTGAGTGCAACGTTTTGCCACTGAACCTTGGTGGGCGTCACTCCATCATAATTAATATTTCCGATTACAACCGACAGGACAGTGGGCACATGACTCAATTGTAGTGTTTTACCCTAAATGATTAAGGACCCTGGGTTCGATTCTCAGATGATCCACACTTGAGGTTGAGTATGATTGGTTGTTAACGGCCAATAAGCCGGAAATGGCCATTCTGGTCACCCCTGTCTTTATAAGTATTCCATTATCAGCATACGCTATTCATCTCCATGCGATTACCTGCGAGGGCTCTACATTGAGCCCTAAGACACATCAGAACGAGCATATCCCGTGGGCTGATTGGTGAGCGCCATACCCACCCAGACGCTAAAACCAACTGGCTAACGTATTCTCTCTTATGTAAAAAATGTATCTGAGTTCGCCGAAAGACAGTTAAAAAAACGCCAGATACAGGTAACTACTAGGCACACCCAACACTTATACCCTAAGGACAGGATTGGCTGTTGCACCAGGAGAGCAGTCGTCTACAGAATATTGTGTACCAGTTGTGATAGAGTTTATCGAGGCCAAACCGAACAATCTCTCTCTTCCTGCGTGTATGGACGTCATTTAGCGGTGAAAGGACAAAACCATTTATCCCAGGCTGCTATGCGCACACTGGAAACACGACACATCCTCGTATGGGAGGAAACCCGCATCGCTGGCGCCTGTCCAACAAGGACCGGGGGTTCCTGGAAGCAGGACGCTTGGATGAGGCATATCGATTTAGATGCCATATAAAAGTTTTTCAAAGTCAAGTGGAAGCCAGCACAGAAGTACCCAGCGGGTAGCTGAATGCAGCGAACGCCCATTAACATAAACTTAAGCCAACCGCAGAATCTTTTTATTAGACGGGATTCAAAGTGAACTGTTTTAGTGCAACAATATGGAAACCGCCTGACAGGTGGACTTAATATAGGCCATGAGGCTGAATCTCGTTATCACAGGACGTGGGGCACTAAAATGGTATTTAATTAGATTATACTATTTGAGAGACAGACTCTGTGACCTTGAGTGTTTAGTTCAAGGGATAACTAAATTAAAAAATGATTTTATCGGAGAAGACTTCATCCTGGCCTTCTACAGAAGAAAATTTGGACTGATATTCAGTAAGCCTAACCGAAATGTCCGACAGCAGACGCTCCTGCGGTGGCAGGTCCCCTTTCATCCCAATTGCAAGACAGAACTCTGCATTGCCAGTTTGCGGCGGAGTTCCGGGTCTAGAACCCACTCGGGCGGCTGGCGATAAATAATGGAAGGGTTTTTCCATATTTTATGTCATCAGCTTCACACCATTACATTGCATGTGTGTACATACAAACAGAGGAAGCTTCAATTCTTGTTTGAAGGATAAACCAAAAAGTTGCCGTGGACGAGATTTGGTCGGATAGACCTCTGACGGTAATGAAGAGGAGGGCTGCATTTGGGTGATTTGAGGGACATTACATGGACCCGAAGACGTCACCGGCGTACATGGCATGACAGCCGAGTTCTTCCTCTATTCTGAGTAGTTGGTTATATTTTGCCAGACGCTCTGAGCGGCAGGGAGCTCCGGTTTTTATCTGAAAGAGGAGAGTTGAGTTTAAGGGCGATGGCAAAGTACGTGGCAAACAAATAAGTGTACATGGCTTGCACAAAAAATTGCTTTTTTGGATGACTTGCTATCGAAACAGAAGATACGTCATCACAAAACTACACTATTATGGATGTAAAAAGGCAAGAGAGACGTCTAGTTGACTTTCCGATGTGCAAGAAATCTAAACGAAATCTTTCTGTGGAAGGAATAATTCAGAAGAACTGTTTCCGGTGCAAAAAGTCCTTCGGTTACGCACAGCCCTCGGAAGATACATTTTCGCTGGTTGAGATTATTAAACGCAGTGACCACGTCAGGGAATGAGAAAACTTGTTTTCTCCCTTCTCCTTCTTAAACGTTGTCGTTAGAATAAGCCTAACCATCTTAATCTCTGCGTGTTCAATTAACTCAGAGCAACCGACTACTTTATTTATTTAAGTACTATCATTCTGCCGAACTTCCGCTCTGATGCTGTCAGGACAGGTCCTACTGCCCGTTGGAAACTTGCACAGGAGTTGGATAATTTCTTACCACGTGATGGTGGGGTATTCGTAAATCTTCCTTTTACCTAGAGTGAGTTAAACTGTTTTCAAATATACATTGAGAGTGAACCATAATTCAGAAATTTGCTTTGAAAAAGAAAATAGACGGAAAAGACCGCATAACTCTTTTTGCGGCATTCATACCTACATTTAAAGACCTCATCATCAACTTAGCTCGATTGCAAGTTTGAGATAAAGTCTAGGCTTTGAACTCCCTTCAAAAATAACCGTTGGATTATGAGAAGGACGACAGGTGTTCATGTCATTCAGCTCATCAATCAGTTAGACTGTTTCATAACGCATTTTAGAATGGCCCAAACGGTAACTAGTCAACTGTATTACGAAATTTATACGGTTTTAGTTTCATTTTACCTGCCCGACATTCAGCCCAACAACGATATCCGCGATTGTGCTGTCCTCTGTCTCTCCGGACCTGTGCGACACCATGACATTCCAGCCATTACGGCGAGCAAGCTGAGCCGCTGCCAAGGCCTCAGTGAAGGAGCCTATTTGGTTGACCTTCAAGAGAAGACAGTTACAGGCTCCAGCGTCGATGGCCTTACGGACGCGATCAATGTTGGTAACAGTCAAGTCATCGCCAACAATCTGAAGCGGACAAAAGTGATACCTGAAAAATCTAAGCGTAGTACTATATTAAAAGCAAAATGCGCTAAATATTTCAATGGTCCAAACAATTTGAGACAGGCCGTATGCAAGCTTACTGCTTGTAGATCCTTTTCCTAGGCTATCTGTTTCGCTCATCAGACAAGAACTTCTTTGGCTTCTTACGGCATGTCGTAAAAATGAGCAAATTCTTCTGGCACACAGCTCTTCCCCGCGGAATTATGCTCAGTCTGTTTGTCCTTTTTTGGGCTGTTGAAGGCGAGACAGCAGTGCGGCACCTCCTTTGGGTGCGTGTGCTTGGGATGTGGTGGGTGTAGGCCTCATGAAGGACATCTCAAGCTGCGATCAGAAACAAGCAACGATCTCATGCTGTTGAAGCCTCACTAGGTTTCTTTTCGGTCCAGCTAGCCACTTTGAACCCAATGGACGCAACCTCGCAAAACTTACCAACATTTTTGCACAACTGAAGTGACTGTATGCAAATAGGTTGAGTGCAGATACGCGTTGTGCGGATATCATGATTACGCTTTGGCAGTTTCCCGTTACAATGTTTTGACTCACCCGACGCGGAATTTTATGTCCCCAGCTCAGCACCACTGGTCTACGCCTGACAACATGGGACTAGCGCCAATTACCGCCCAACAATATAGCCGATTTACGACTCAGAAATCTACCCGAACAGTCTTTGAGCTTCTTAATCATGGAGCGGATCCTTTAGAACTTGGTCCGAAAAGTTACATGCGAACATTTGGTATGAAATCCATCAGGTCCAGCAGGATAACCACGTGATATTCACAGGCTACCAATAACCAGTCAGTAGTATACAAATATTACAACATATGAACAGTCTTTATTGCGTTACACCGTATCAACACTGGGAGGGGACATTGGTGAGAGTAAGCGATTGGTGCGAGCTTTGAGGGCGCATGGAGGCCGTGTAACTGATCAACCATTCAGCGGACGGCATCAATTCATGCGCGCTTGTGGCTACTGAATTTTTGAAATATCTACCTGTGTAACGTATCCTATTAGGGGACCGCCGCCCCTTGGGTAACAGATGTGACCTTGTGCAACAAATGACAGAGGAAGCGGGTGCGTTGAAATATACTCACCTTGCTATCAAGAGTGAATAATGCACGTGTGCTAGTAGCCATGCTGTCAGTATGGTGAATCAGTTAACGTTTCTACTGACGGTCTGCTGGAAGTTTATGAATATTGTGCGGTTATTCCCATGACGCTGATGGATTTCAGCTCAAGTGTGCATATCAACTTTCGCAACGAGTATGAATAGGTTAGCCCCGAGGGATTTACTCCAAGTTAGCACATTTAATTTCTAAGGAGCTTTAAAAAGCTGAAATTTTGAAAATAGAGTATATACCAGAAAGCATACGGAGCGTACTGATTCTTCTGACACGCAGATCTTCCCTATGGGGCCATAGTTAACCAGCTGGTAATTTTTCGAGTTGTTTGTTATGTTGTCAGTATAGGCCACATAGAATTCTGACAGGCGTTATCGGGAGCGCACACCCATAACAAATGCCAACATCTGGGTGCGGTGGCAGACCCACTTGACGACTTACGTCCCACACATTGGGATCCCCCCACTGTTGCTGTTGATTAAAATCCTGGTCAAGTGTTCGTTGTGGACGAGGGGCTGTGGTGGAAAGCCTAGGTGCCGGTTTAGGCCGTGCTAGCCACCTGCATCCTCTTCCGCCTCCGGTCTTCTTGACTTGTTCCTGACAACGGATGCAGGTGGAGGGGGACTAGCGAGTGCGGTGATGGTGTGCAAATCCACTACCATTATAACCCAAGCCACACACACACAAGTCGCCGTGCCTGCTTCATCTTGCTATGGAGCACACGATGGACATGGTCAGTCACGACAGTCGAACTGTCGTATCCAACTGGCTGCCTGTTGCCGCCAATGCTGCTTGCATGGAGAAAGTTACCTGAAGAGTTTATCTGTCAAGAACTGTAAATGATGAACCAAACTTCGCGCAAATGCGTCACTAAACGACAGATAATCGGATAAACACGTGTCTGCGCTTTTAGGTTGTACCTACGCTGATGCTATCTTGAACCATACAACATTATTGGACATTGTATCATTTAAGAAGTCTGTAAATTTAACTTCAGCGATTGTGCTCGATCAGTAGTTGTCTAAAGGCGCCACTATTTGCTCCTTGTATGTGTTCAGTCTAGCATTAGCAATCGTTGACGACTGATCCGATAAACACGTGAATCGATGGTCCGACAGAGTACTGCCGTAGGTTCCTCTCGGGCGTTGGGATTATACTAATAGAATCACGTAGGTTACATGATACTTGTGGAAGTTACCAGCTTCATGTGTGTACTTATTATAACTAGTGGGAATGTCGGAGGTGAGGGAACACCCATAAAACCTTCTAAAAAGAAGATAACTAGAAACATTTGTGACCGGAATCATTGTTGCCCTAAGGATTAATTGTTCAGATGATCTAAAGCAAATTTGGAAGAGAAAAATACTCACGCCTGACCCTAGAGCTGCACAACCACTCGCATACATGTGCCGCGAGGTTTAGTCTAGGTTGCGTAGACTGATTCAGTGCAGAGCTGACACCAGCAGGTTCCCGTTCATGTGCATTGGCCAACTCCCATAGGATACATTGGCTAGATGCGGCATCAGATAGGAATACGTGTCCCACTACCCACGACACAAGCCTTACTGTCGAGGTCGGGCAGACTGGGGAATTATTTATCATGGCCTGGGGGCAAGAGAGAGAGGACTGTAGAACGCGGAAATGCAAACCCCCTAATAGTACAGACGACCTTGCACTAGATTCCAGGGGGTTGGAGTTAGGGATAGTGTTAGGGCTAGGAGGTAGGACACAGAAGTAGCTCCTCCTCTGGAATTTAGTGCCAGGCTGCCCGCAGAAGGAAGTTACCTATTCCCGTATCCAGCCAAAAGGACTTCTGGTGCCTTGTAGCTCCCCTTTTTTGCACGCCGAAAGTAACTTCTGTCAGGTGTGGACAACTGCAGCTTCTAACCAGTTACAAAGCATTCATCGGTTAGATCGCAGTTGGTAGCCAGGAATCGGGGGGCGTACAGCCAGGTCCCTGTTGTACGGGAATGGTGGGAAAGGGGGATATATGGGTGGGGTAAATGGAAGGGCTAGTAGAGGAATGCTGAATTTTCTGGGTAAAAGTAAAGTTAACAGGGAAAGTGCTGGGGAGTTCTAGGTAGGTGAAATAAAGGCAGAAAATTAAACCCTACGCTTAACCCTAAATCCAACAATGACCGCAACCGTAAAGCCTAACCCTAAGCTTTAAAACCGAAACGTAACCAAAATCCTAAAACCCAACGATAACCCAAAACCTAGCCATAACCGTAACCCTAACCTTGACCCTAACCTTAACCCTAACCCTAGCCTTAACCCTAACCTTAACCCTAAGCCTAACCCTAACCTTGACAGTTACCCTAGCCGGAGCCCTAACGGGAACCTAAACCCTGACCCTAACACTGAAACCTGATCCTAAAACGCTAACCCTAATCATAAAACTTAACCTACGCCTAACCCTAACCCTCACTTAACCCAACAGCCTGACCGAAACGGGTGACCTGCCTAACTCAGTAAGAGCACACCTACTGATAACAGGTTCCCTAGACAAGGTAAGCACACCTACAGATAACAAGTACATACGTCGACAGTATCAACGTATAATGGCTGGCTACCAACTGCGATCTTACCCATTCATCGATAGGTCGGTGTTAAGCAGGACGAAAACACGGTTAGCGAAGGAAACTGCCGTAATCAGCGTCGTGCTCAGAGGTTCATGCGAGCATAGAAAATGAATGTCAACTCACCTGTATACGAGTTCGCGCACACATTTTCACCCAAGGTTCCCAATCATCCTGCTCGAAGGGATCTTCAATGCTCTTGATCGGATACTTGTTAATGATGCTTAAGTAAAGTTCGGACAGTTTGTCAGAATTAAGCATCATGGAGGGATTCGGCTTGCTGTCTTTAAAGGCCAAGTTGTACTTCTTGTTCTCATACATTTCCGATGCCGCAACGTCCATTCCAATGACAATTTTTCCACAATAGCCGGCATCGGTGATGGCGTCCATGAGAAGGTCGAGGGCTGAAAGTAAACATAGGTGAATCATTTCAATCTTTTGTCGGACTGCAAATCGATATTCCCTCTTGGACTGTATTTCACTTCATTACTACATGCAACCTGTGATCCATTGGCACTGGCATAACGACGACCTTTTATGCAGCCTGAAATTCTGAGCTGATAGTATTTGATAATCTAATGAATACGCAAGAGGCCTGTCTTCTATAAATACGGGCCCACTTTGACAGCGAAATTGGCTGGCCACACCATAATTCCGTCACTAAATCGGCATCGTATCCTGTCCTGACACAGTTTTATTCCGTTCTTTTTTGCGTCCTTCATTCTTTGTTTGTTCGCTCTCCTCCACTGGTAGAGCTTATTCGTCTCCAGAGCTATTGTTTGCTATATAGCACGTCATTAATAATGTAGGAATTACCAAGCCAGGGAGGAAACATCAGCAAAGTCAGGACATTTTCCGACGATCAAGTTGCATAGATTATTTGCAGACATAACCCAGTGGAGATATTAGTAGATAGAAACAGCAGAAACCTGGAAAAACTTTGAGAAGCAAGGGCGATAGCAAAGACCGACTAGAAAGGATGCAGCGTACGAAAAAAATCAATGGCTTTTCAGGGGCTCAAAGGCCTGAAATACTACTGCGGCCGATTGTCTCTGAGAGGAACCCTGACATACGGCTTGTTCATGTCATTGGTTAGACGCCTTAGGTCTCCACCCCAAGACTCTGAAACAGCTGTATACTCACAGAAGCCATTGTTGTAAAGTATGCGTGGCGGCCAATTGGTAAGTGACAAAGTAATGGTGTTCTTCGACGTGAAGTCACTTTCGCGGCGAAACCAACTATATGGCAAATGAAGTAAGACGAGGATGCATAAAGGCAAAACTGCCGTCATGCGAAAGGAGGAACTATCCTTGCTGGTCGCTCATTCACTCCCTCCAGGGCCAATCTTGCTGTTTTACTGCATGATGGTGCAGAACCAGTTGGATGACGGGATTTCCCGCCAAACGAGAAAAACTTAATATTCAAACGATGACTCGATCAATCTGCTACCCTCTTACCAAACACTGAGAATAAGTCAATAACTCGACTGGTTTGTAGATGACTCATACGTCCGACGACGAGCATGGAAACCAGTCACAAAAGCTTGAGGATTAAAGATTATCTCGTTCCCAAAAAATTTCACTTCTAGATATAGAACAATATAAAGGAGACAGTCTCTATCCAACTCCAAAAAAGTTACTTTAACATTGCGAGATTCTGACAACGGCTGATCGATCAATGTAGACCCCTTGGACCACCTGTTTTCGACCTATTTATACGCCTTTACTTTGTATCTTTCGAATTCCGAAATCTGTTCCAAAAAGAAACATTTGGCAGAAATGCGAGTCTTCCCGATGCCTTTCGAAGCTTCTATGGCAAGGGTATAGCTTATGGCCGGAGTTACTTACTCCGAGCAACAATTGTGCTAAATAAAAATAACTGGCGATTTTTATTTGTACGTGCCAGGGGAAGAGATAAAAAGACCTCGAGGTGGCTGTTGCATGAGGGTGGTAATATGCTTTAAGGTAGTCATCGGAGCAGAAATACGACAATACAATACCTTTTTAACATTGCCTGCAAAGGGGCATTAAATTTATTTACTATTATAATTGAATGGTAAAAAAGTTGTTTTCCCTTTTAATTGGTTACAATACGAAGGGTCAAAATTTTTGATGCCACAAAGTTATCAGACGTTCAGGTCTTTGGTTCTACACAAATCCTTCTCGACCATAAACCATATCCTCGCCGATTCCATTAATTGCTCTGTCCATCTGATCTACTGATAAAAATAATATTAAAATCCTTCCCGTATTTCAGCAGTCCCTGCGCTCCAACTTCTCAATGGGCTTACATATTCAAAATTGGTCGCCAGCAAAAAAACCGAGAATTGATGATTGTTAGAAGTGTATAGTTTACAGCGTTAGTTCCCTTGTTCTCCTTACGCCTGCGTAAGTCTGCTGCTGACCCAACCGTTCGTTAGTTGATAGGCTTCTTAGCATGGAGAGTTGCAAAACCACATAAATTGATAGTAACAGAAGTACGCAGAGATACACGTAGAAATCCCCACGGCTGGAGGGGCAGGTAACTGGCTTCAGGTCTGACACCATTTCAGTCTAGCGCCTGCATGGGCCTCTCCGTGACCTACCTTCGTGCACGTCACCAACATTGGGTGCAAAACCGCCCTCGTCGCCGACGTTGCATGCGTCAATGCCGTACTTCTTTTGGATAATCTTGCGCAAATGGTGGTAGGTCTCGGTGCCCATGCGAAGGGCCTCGGAGAAGGATTTAGCGCCCGTGGGAAGGATCATAAATTCCTGCATGGGCAGTTTGTTGCCGGCATGTTTGCCCCCGTTGATCACATTGAAGGCAGGTACTGGTAGGCTGACGCGCAGGATGCCCGCCAGATTGGCTACGTGCCGATAGACTGGAACATTCTGCAACAGGGTGAGTGGAAATTCTTAATCTTTTGGTAATTAAGTTTTTTTTTAAAAAAGGAGATAATTTCCTGCTCCATGATCGGCCATCCACCACGGCCGCCTGTAACAGCCTGTACTTTCCGGTCGGGTAATGAGGAGACGGCTTTATCAGTCAAGGTCAGGACGGATACGGATGTATGCGACCAGTCTTTCCTCAGTTATAAACATGGTTTAAAAGAACTCATTTGAATTACTGGTGAGGTGGTGGTAACTGGATAAGGAAAACAATTGCAAGGAAGTAGTCTAGTCAGAAGTAGTGCAGGGAAAAAGATCAAGGAGTAGATACAGTGCGTGACCGATCACGTGAAACGTTGGACAAAATTCTGCAATGCGTTTCCGATTAGGAAGGATTACTTAAGTGGGGTTGTTATACTGATTATCATGGGGCAAAACTCTATAACATTTCGGACTCGCCAAGATGTCGGCTTTTGAATGGACTTCTTTTTGACCCCCTGCAGGAACTACACTCGGGAAAAAATGACTATTTAAGCCGCACTGGCTTTCCGGCAGAAGGCCCTGTTCCAGGTGGTTATTGAGGCGGTTGAGAAGGATGCGAGCGAAGATCTTCCCGGCGATGTTCAGCAAGGAGATGCCACGGTGATTGTCGCAGACTTGGCGATTCCCTTTTCGCTTGTATAGGTGCACGATAGTTGCGTCCTTGAAATCTTGCGGGACTTCACCTTGACGCCACATCTCCTGAAAGAGCGCAGTCAGGTGATCCATGAGTTGGGGACCTCCGTGCTTGTAGACCTCAGCAGGGATTGCGTCCGATCCGGGTGCTTTCCCGCTGGAGAGCTGCTGCACGGCCCTGATGGTTTCCTGAAGAGATGGCGGGAGGTCTAGGTCCGCGTTGGTCTCGACTTGTGGCAAACGCGCGATGGCGGCGTCGGAGATGGCGGAAGGGCGGTTGAGGACGCCTCGAAAGTGCTCGGCCCATCGCTGAAGGATTTCCGTCTTCTCAGTCAGGAGAGTACTGCCGTCGGCGCTGAGGAGAGGAGCAGTGCCCTTTGTCGGCGGACCGTAGACAGCTTTGATCGCAGAGAAGAAGTTCTTCCATTCGTTGCGGTCCGCGTAGCCTTGGATCTCCTCAGCTTTGCGAGCAGTCCAGGCGGCCTGCATCTCGCGCAGTCGCTGCTGGAGGTGGCGGCGACTGCGGTAGAAAGCAGCTTTGTTGTCGTCAATGGGGTGATCGACGTAGGCTTTGTGTAGGCGGTTCTTCTCAGCAAGCAGATTTCTGATGGCGGCGTCGTTGTCGTCGAACCAGTCCTGGTGTTGGCGGAGAGCGCGACCGAGGACGGTGAGCGCCGTCGCCTGGACCGTGTCTCGCAGTTGACACCAACGGTTCTCCACGGAGGCGTTTTCGGCAGCGGCGGCATCGGCGATGGGGAGGTTGTCTAGCCGTTGAGCTAGCTCATTGCTGAAATGGAATCTACTGAACCTAGGTAACCCATCTTATGAAAAGGTGACCAAAATTTTGGAATGCATTTCCGATTAGAAAGGATTACTTAAGTGAGGTTGTTAGACTGATTGTCATACAGCATAATTCTACAACATTTCGGACTTGCCAGGATGTCGGCTTTTGAATGCACTTCTTTTTGACCTCCTACAGAGATCACACTCGGTAAAAACTGACTACTTAAGTGGCATGCATTTTTCCTACTGATTTTCGATGGTCGTATAAATTCAAATATATTTTATGGAGAACATGCACAAAAATATGTTTTCTTTTGTTCATTTGGTAGAAAATCACGTTGTCTTCATATTTTATGTCCGAACAAAGTGTATATTTTGGTTTTTAAAGCGTTTCTAAGTATGAGATTTTTAAGAACGTGCGATGTCCATGCATGCAAGACCGCCCATGTCCGTTTACTAATGCTCCTCATGAAATGTACAACGCAGTCCGAATCCATTGCGAAATTCCATGAACTCTATGTGGTACCTTCTTAGGCATAGAGGAATATATGATTTACCTTACGCGGAAAGCATGCACCTTGTAGACTAAAATTGCTAAACGCTGATGCAATGGCAGATCAGGCTGGAAATTATTCGGGAATTGGGAAACCTTTTTAAAACCTAAAAACACACTTTCTTCGAGCATAAAATATGAAGACAACGTGATTTTCTACCAAATGAACAAAAGAAAACATATTTTTGTGCATGTTCTCCATAAAATATATTTGAATTTATACGACCATCGAAAATCAGTAGGAAAAATGCATGCCACTTAAGCAGTCATTTTTGGCCGAGTGTAGTTTCTGCAGGGGGTCAAAAAGAAGTCCATTCAAAAGCCGACATCTTGGCGAGTCCGAAATGTTATAGAGTTTTGCCCCATGATAATCAGTATAACAACCCCACTTAAGTAATCCTTCCTAATCGGAAACGCATTGCAGAATTTTGGCCAACATTTCATGAGGTCGGTCACGCACTGTAGGTGGTAGACGAGGAAGCGATGGACATGATAGCGGAGAGAAGCATGCTGTAGCAAACACTATTCACTTATCGTTCCTTATCGGCCTCCTTTGCCCGTCCGGTCCGAACAGTTGTAACTACATTCTTTATGAGAGTTCACCAAGCCTACTGATAATGCGGAAAATTTACCAGGAGTCTTCAATGATCCTGTGTTCTTCTGCCTGCTTTTTCTGCCCACGGCAAGAACCCACATTGACGTCGGCATGCAAGAGTCGTTTTAATGGGCACACTCCAGTTATTCTCATAAAGTGACCGCCACGTTGAATTTTGACCTGTTTCTGCACTTGAAAGACGTTGGGCATATCCGCTGATTTCAGCAACTGGACGCTTGAGATCTGCTCTTGCCATTTCATTTTCAGTACCCTGCGGAGACGGTTCGGTGGAAGAGTTTGGGCTTCCTCGCTATTTCTGATACATTGTCCATGTTGCTGTCTTCAAGATGCTGGTCCCTTCTATTGTTTGTTTGTTGCTGAGGCGGGTGCCACGACTATAGACTGAAAATTGTAACTTGCCGAAGGTCTGACTAATCCTGAATACCCAAGGCACAGCTTTGGTGCCACTTTTTGTGTTCCCTGTACTCATACTTTCCAACCAAGGAAAAGGTTGGCAGCAAAAAGACGCGGGGGGGACTGATAGTAATTGCGGATCTCGTGTATTCCACGTTTGCGCCAGCTGGTGAGTAATAACAATTTGCACGAATCTTAGTTCAAGGATGTCGTATCTGGGGACAGAGGTCCAAGCTTTGCTGCAGGCCCGTCCAAGTGATGGTGTTTAATGCGACCTTTCAGGAGACGACTAAATAGCATATCCTTTACTTGGCCACCATAATGAGGAGATGCAGGCCCAGGGTATTAACTCATTTCCCGATTTTCTATAATTCTTTTCAGTTCTTGGTCACTCCTCGTTTTAGGTGTGGGGAGATTTTGGGATGTAGGGAGATTTAGCGAGTACACGAATATACTGCATTTCAAGCCACCAAAGGTTTCTGAAGCCAATCCGTTGTCCGTGATGCTTGTTAACATGCTATCCTTAAGGTGCCTGGTTATCAGCGTGAACTTTGAGGACTGCCCGGAGTTCATCGTTCTCCAAATTTCACTTCGGCTCACAATGTTAAATACCTCAAAATGAACGGCGAAGGGGATGTAGGGACACGTCCCCATGTTCCAGTGCTTCTTCTGTATTTGGCATGCGATGGAGTTCATTTTATGGTTTCGATGTGGTTCCGAACGTCAGATTTAGTCTCTGAAAAAAACCATATTCTAAACGCTAGCCCCAATGCTTCAGAATCTGTTATTTATTTGATGGCCGACTAGGCGCTGAGGTGTTTCTGGTGAGTTGGCGATCGCAGACCGCCTTGATGGCCATAAACCCGTGTCCTATTTCTTCATGATCAGTACGTCCTCGTATTGCCTCTGCCTCACCAACTAGCCAGTGTTTTTACATTTCTATCAACCTCTGATGAAACTATCACCGGCGACAACAGAATGCATTTTCTTTCCCTACGGAAACCGTAGTTCGTGTTACGCCACTTCTCCTAGAAGAGAGGACGCTAGATGATTCCTTCTTCACCTAGGACCAGTCCTGGAGTTGTCAGCTGTTGACTCCAAAAGTTGGTTGTGGCAATGGGACAGATGCTGTCCCCAGGTCTCTTTCCTTTTTATTAAAGTCCTTATCCTACAGTGTTCACCCATGCAGGTTGGTGAACTCCTGCCTGTGTGAGACGTCGTCCAATAATACAGTATTCGGCTTCCTTGGTACTCTGTTTTCGCAGCTGAAGAGACGGTCGTAGGTCCAAGACTCGATACCAGACCGGCCATATCGCCTTCTGATGAACACATAGTTCAACATATGTTTCTGTTGTAGTATTTCACAGTGTGACGACCACGCGGACCCATTCATGTAGCATGATTTGTAACCACCTGTGTATGTAAATCGCGTCCTAACAATGGTCCTGGTCGGAGATGCCTCAGAACAAGGCTAGGGACCCGATAAGGGCTCCGAACGCGTTAACTAGACTGCGCTGAGTCAGCGCATCCTATGGTGAGGGCTAGTGAACGCATAGACGCAGACTGTATGCCACGCCAGTCACTTGCGTCCATTTGCATCATCAGGCGACCGACCGGCTCAGAGCCGACTGGTGCATGTGAAAGGGGAGAGAGGGAACAAAAATGTGTGAAACCGACTCTGCGACGCCGTCCACACGGCATCTCAGCGCATTCCACACTTTAACCAATCTGCTGCGCTAAAAGTCGTAGCTTGGGAGGGCGGTCAACTGACTGGGTGACTCGGTCCTCTCAAGATTGAGAGTCAGGTTACAATGGCTCCTTCATGCTGCGGCCCCCATGGCATTCCCGTTCAGATGGAACCCTACTTACACTCTTCTTTGTAAAGACCTCGTCTATTGTACGAGGACCGGTTCATCTAAGGTACGCATCGATCGACTGTTTGGCTGCGCCAGCAACTGAGTCCGGGCCCGCCGCCAGTCATTCTGACTTTGTGCCTTGCCACCTAGCCCTGGTGATTCGGGAGGGAGGGAGTGCGGCAGACGCTGCGCAAGTCGGTTATCACTCCGAGCGAATGCGCGCGCAAATCAACGTCCTGTGCCCACCACGTTGTGGGGCACAAGGTGAACATCGTCGGTCGCGAAGGCTGAAACACTATGTGCTTAAATCACAGGGAGTGATCACTTTGGCCACCCTCGGTATGGATACGAGGATGAAGTCCTGATTCCCGTAGGAGATGTCTTCCACGTTATGAGAGCTTCCCAATATGGGTGCATATACGTTGACACTAATGGGAAAACGCTCTCTGTGAATAGGATGTCATATTCTGGTGGGTAGGAAGGAAGGCAGCTCCTGGAAAATTCCATTTTTGATGCGATGGTAACATCTGAATATCCTCATACTTTCATTAGACCGTCCATTCCAAAAAACAAATAACGCTGGGATTGGTTGGACTGCACTTGCTCCAAGAAGCGTATTTCACTAAGGATGGTTGTGACATCCTGATGTTACTTTCTATCCTTGTCTTTTTGCTACTAACCGTTTGTTAGTAACCGGACTTTACTCATACCACCCTGCTTTTGTCTCTGTACCCCTATTCGTCGGTTCTCGTCATTCTTTGTTCACTGTTCTTTGTCCATTGTCTATTCCTCTTTGTCTCCGCTCGCTTTTAAACCGACCACCACACTTTGGCGTCATTCGCTGACTGCTCATCTAATCACCTCGAATGTACGTCCACTTTTCAATTTATTCCCCGCCTTATTAACTCTATCGTACTCCGCTACTCTTACTGTTTATTGCTATAGAACCACAAAGGATAGCCGAGTTATCCCGACTGTCTTCTGACGTAGCTTTGACCTCGGGTTCGTCCATTCCGGTGAATAAACCAGTACTGAATCGAGAAAAATCTGAAGAATACAAACATGGTTAGGTCATGTCCGCGCTGTTGCGCGTCCGTTTCCCGACAACAGTGACTGCCCTCATTTACGATCAGCTAGTCAAAGGGGTATTTAAAAATGAACAGACATCCCAAGTTATAAAACTGGCCAAAGTAAATGTGATAAATGGGTGAGGAAATACTGATGAGGTTTGTTTCCATTTATGCCTAAACTTCCTTTATCTTGTTCAGCAGTCACGACAACGTCAGACAGCAGTCTCCTAGGTAACCTACTCTGGCACCCTCACGCACTAGGGGCTTAGCAGCGCGTTCCTGAATACGCTTTCTTAGACATCCTCGGTGGCTGCCGAATTCAACTATAGCCTACGACCAACAAAAATGCTCGAATCCCCCGAGCCACCTATGTAATTGCATGCTGCTCTTTTCATACAACTTTGATATTTGTAGGCAGATTGTGGGAGGTCGGTGGCGGAGATGATGAACTGGTGAAAATGAATTGCCCGTGAAGTGAACAACAGGGGGAAAATGTGAAAAGCATCGTCCTGACTCTCACCGTCTTCCCAATCCTATGGTGTTCTGTTAACAAAACCACTTCAAGATGACTGGCGATGAGATTTGGTGTGGGCATAGGACTCAGTTTACGCATGCTACAGTAGCACTGGCCCTCCCCCGTTGATCAAACCACACCGCGGGGATAAAGAGAGGGCGGAAGGGGAGCGCAGAACGACCGCCTTTTGAGGATGACATTCAGTACGACCGCTCTTTTAGCAAAACGACATCCCCTGCTGGACAAATCATACATTAATAGTAGTGAAAATGCGATTCCCAGGTGGCATATCAAGAGGGGTCTCCGAAGCCGTAGACAGATCCCTCGCGCCGCTCGGAATAGGCGTTGCCCACAGGCCCGACTCAACAACCCGCCGGCAAGTGATGCGGCCAAAAGATCCGATCCCTAAGCAGGAGATGTCGGCCGTTGTCTACCGACTTCAATGCAGCTGCGGAAGGTGCAACTACGTTGGGAAAACCGGCCGACGACTGCAAACGCGAATGCACGAGCATAAGTTGGCCGTGCGAAGGTTGGACCAAAAGTCGGAAGTGGCAACCCATGCCGCGCAAATAGGACACATCTTCAACTTTGACGCCGTTGAGATTGTGGGCGGGGGGCGGCGATCACACAGCGAGGCAAGTGCAAGAAGACTGGATGTCCACCGACCGCTCTGTCAACCGCCACATCAATTTGCCTCCCCCCTATCTGACTTTACGAAACCTCTTAGCGGGGGACAGTCACGGCGCGGGACAACCGGGGCCGTCAGTCATCTCCGCGGCCGACGGGGGCGATTCAGGTCACGGTGACATGCGAGTTGGATGCAGCCACAGAGGCGGCATCGGCGGATCACGCATTGAACAAAGGGCGCCATTATAAGGGGAGCTGTGCACAGGACTTCCCAGTCTCTGAAGCTGGGTAGACGTATAAATTACTCGAAACGTCGGACCTCAAATAAACCCCTTCCGATGAACGCCCCCTCTTCTTTTGAAATCATACATTCCTGGGCAAATCTAGTAAGTTGCAGAAAAAGATGGTCGAAGTATTCCGGCTCACCTTTTCAGCAGCTCCGGCCTTCAAGACGGCCAACGAAACGCCAAGGATTGCATTAGCGCCCAGTCTCGCTAAAGTAAAAAGCAAATGCTATGAAGGAATTAAACAGAAGTTGGGAAGGGCATAAAACACTCATATCAAGGGCAAAATTTGCCTCGGCAACTCAAGCGTAGGTTTGGCGAGTCTAAACTCGCTGCGGCAGTTGTAAAGCTTAAGGCCATTCGACTATTAAGTTTTTAATACTGAAAAAGATCATAGTGTGTACACGAACAAGAGATTTATTGCTGGACTTCTAGAGCTTGATAGGCCTCCTCACCCTCAGAGGATTGATCCCGGCCTAGAGTTGGAGATGGCTGGCTGACGACGACTAATAAACCAGAAGTGACCACTCTTGTCTCCCTTGTCTTTGTCACTAACCTCCTTCTGCCTATATAAATTTATATATAAAAATCCACGATTTAAGTATGACTGGTTGACGGAGATAGATTAGTCAAAAATGGTCAGCTACGCACGTCGCATTCGTCATTTTTTCTCCACTCCCACCTGTCACAGCACAACCACGCGCACGGCTCTGAATAGAGCTCCAAGAGAGCAAGACTAGCATGTTTTGCTTGTAACTAGGTTGGTGAATGACCCACTCAGAATATTTACAATAGATATGCTATCTCATGGAATGTTAGCCGAAATTCTGAGAGGGGGTAGTCACATACTTACGGTAGGATTTGGGACGGGGAGTAAAGGGAGAACTGTCACAGTTCCCGATGTTGGAAGGAATGGGGATGGCGGTTCGATGGGACTGCAAACGGTGGAATTGGAGCTAGCCGATGCGGCATGTGGACAGGGCTTAACGTGCCGATGTTTGAGGCGTGAAGACTTTGAGAGAGGGGTTGGCGAAACGGTGAATCTACGTGCTACAGCATGGATTAGCGACTATTTTTAGGTCGTGGGCGCAAGTCAGCGGGTTGAGCACACAGATCTTCGTAATGAGCGTCCAGATCGACATTGCGGTTGATGCTGGTCGTGCCAGAGTGCAGGCTTCGGGACTTACGCGCCTGTTTGGTGTTAGCTGTAGCAACCACTACAGTCCCGTCCCAATTGCAGTGATGGTCGCCCTCAAGAGCGTGCGCAAACATGAGCGACAAGGGGTCACTTCGCGAATGAATAGTTTATGCTTGTTAATGGAACGCGCATTTACAGTCAGTGACCTATTTCATTAAATGTTTACAGATATTCTCAATTGCGTTCTCGATTACGTAAGTGGGGTTGCAATATCGACTACCATACCATGTCACCCCGTGATATTTCAGACACGCTAGGATGTTGGCGGTTGAATGCGCACCTTCTCGGCCATCTGAAAAAAACCCACTCTAAATGACTACTTAATTAATGTACGCCTTTCTATTTATTTTCGATGCCCTTCCAAGTTCAAATATCTTTCATAGAAAATGTGCACAAAAACATCCTTCTGTGCATTCACTTAGGGAAAATTCACGTCTTCTTCAAATTTTATAACCGAAGAAGGGGTATATTTTTCGCGTCAAACAGTTTACAAATGTAAAATCTCTTAAGACCACTCGGTGCCCATTCCAATGACATCGTACCTGGCTGCTTACTGACGCTCCTCACGAAGTATACAACTTAGTCTGTATATGGTGCCTTCTTAACGACACAGGGGAATGCATGATTTCCCTTATCTGGAGGGTATACAGCTTGTAGACTGAAAACCCTAAAGGGCAGATCAGGCTCAGAATTATTTGGGGATTGAAAAAGTTCTTAAAAATCGAAATATAGCCATCCTTTACGTATAACGTTCAACAAAGAAGTGATTTTCTACCAAATGAGTGCAAGAATACCCCTTTCGTTCGTTTTTTTACAAAATAAATCTGTATTTTTTATAAATCGTTGGAAACATTTCACATTACTTAAGTAGCCGTTTTTGCCGAGTGTAGTTTATTTCAGGTTGGGGGAAAGAAGCTCATTTAAAAGCTGGTGACTTGCGGTAACTGAAGTATTTTGGGATTATGCTGCACACTAGTCAATGTGATAGCCCTGTAGTGGCCTTACTCCGGTCGCCTGTTTGCAACGCTGTGTCAATCGCGAGTATTCGCAAGTGCGCACCACTGGTGGTCTGGTTCTCAGCCAATCACAGCTACCCAAACCGGCCAATTGTATGCAAGGTCGACTCTGGCCGGTTCTAGCACAGGGTGCTGTGACGCATTCCTCACTGTCGCTAGGGGCGTCGCGCTCCCGCATCGGGCGTACACTCTTCCGGCTGCCGACTCTCCCCAATCCCCGTCTCCAGTTATCCTGTGCGAAATACACTATTTTCGTAACTGGCGTCAATCTCCACCTGTTTCTATTCAGGACCGAGTCTGAAGGTCGTAGCGGCTAGGGTCTCACCATGGCTTCAGCTGCTGCGATTACCACACGTGAGTAATCATTAATAATCGAAAACACATTTCAGAAGTTCGGTTAACATTTTATGAGATCGATCACGGACTGTATACTGCAAGCAGAAGTGAGGCTGCGCAGATGAGAAGGAAAGGCGGGGTCAGTAACCACGGTTGTACTGTCAAAACAAGCTACAGGTTAATTGAAGATCAACATTGTCCACATACTACAGACAACAACCCGACGTTCAGTCGCTAGACCAAAACTCCCCTTGTTACGAAGTGGAACGACAAACGTCATTTATTGAGTTTAGTGTAAATCCGTGAACTTAACTGTGCGGGAGAGACCGGCAAATGACTACAGGCTCTCGAAGGCAGTGATGAGCAAGGACTCATTGTCTATAGAAGCGGGACAGCCGCAAACACTGGGCAGACCTCGTTAAGATTCCAGAATCCTGAGCCATAGAAATGACTGTATTGCCAATAAGACCGTCGAAGCATGCCTCATGAGAACAACTTCTATCAACGTTAGGTAATCAAATCTGAAGTTCACTGATTCTTTCGGACGTAGGTTGGTGAGCGGAGATACAGGCTCGAAATTAGGTCAATCGTAAATCGAGACAGGGGGCACCTACACAGGATACAAGCATCAACGATGGCCCCAGACCCACTGCCCATGTGGATGGGGGTGAGTATAGTCAAATAACGAAGACAAAACTAACTGTCAATGGGTGCAATTACGGACAGTGCAGATGCATCTGAAGACCTCCAGCAAACAAAAATCGTTCTTAACATTGATGCATGACATGAGGCATGAAGGTAGACGACATCCTTCATCCTTTTGCCCGCTGTGGCGGCGGTTGCTGCATGGGCAACCCCTGTTACTAAGCCCTGTAAATGTGCGTGTGTTTAATAGCCTGGTACAAGCGTGTGTCCCTAAAACAGGACATGCCGTAGATGCGCCGGATGAACACGGGAGGTTAATCGGAGCTCGGCGAGGTGGGCCAGATGTGGTTATGTAACCCCACCTGAAGTAAACAAACCCCAGTCCCCCGTAATACGGGACCGGTGGTAATTGGAGTTTTTACAGGTGGGGTCGGGGGAACTCACAGACGACGAGGTAAAGTAACTGTATGCAAAAGAAAAGCTATTGAGAATGCGTGGTTGTACTTTGAGTGATGGAGAAATAGTTGCCCTAACCCTAACTGCTAACTTTACCCCTAACCCCAACCCCAACAGTAGTGTGTCCATCAGATGGGGCTACATAGGCACATCCTACCGGAAGAGGATGTTATCGGGAATGTGTACCCATCATAAATGCTAGCATTTGGGGTATAGTAGCAGACTCAGTTGCAGACTCAGGCCGTGTCAGTTGGTATCAGTGCTGACCCCGTATTTTTTTCGGCGTATGAAGTACTGCTCAGTGTTTATTGTGGACCAGGGGGTGTGGACCAGGTTGCCGAGGTGGGGATTTACGCCATGCTAACCACCTGCGCCCACTCCCGCCTCTGGTCTTCTTGGCTTTGTTTTGACACCGGGCCGAGATTTGGGAGAGGAGAGAGTACGGTAGATACTGCACAAGCCTGCTACTAACTCATGCGCAAGTCACCTTCCCTGCCCGCACCCTGTTGTGGAGCACACGGTGGACATCGTCGGCAAAGACGGTCGAACTGTCGGCCTATGCATCTGGGACCGGGTCGTGCGTGGGACGCGTAGGAGGTTGTTAAGGTTTGACAGCCGCCGTACTTACGTCTACCTCCGGTCGTGTTGGCATCTTTCAGTCATGGGAGCAGGGTGGGTGGAGAAAGAGAGAGTACGGTGGGTGCCGTGCAAGTCTACTTCGCTGCAAACGCATCTACACGTAAGTCACAAGTGCTGTTCTCACTCCTTGGGGCGAACGGAGGACGTCGCAGCCAGCGACGGCCGAACTGTCTTGTGCTTATAAGCGTGTTTAGTTATTGTGAATAATTTTACAGTTTGTCGAAACAATGTGTAACTTTGATTCCCTAACAGTTGTCGACTTACACTTGTTCGGCGTGCCGTCAAGCTCTTTGGTCATAAAGTTGTCGATATCTGCCTGTTCGGTCACTGGGAGGCCTTTCTTCAGGAGGGCAGGACCAATTATCTTGTTCACATTGTTTACAGCATGCATCACGGCCTTTCCCATGTAATCCCTGCCACCGTCCCGCATTTCATTTGCTTCATGGATGCCAGTGGAGGCTCCGCTTGGAACAGAGGCTCGGAAGAGACCTTGGAAGGCCAGGGAGCAAAGGGGTTGGTAAATAACGACCAGTCAGTTAGAAACGATCACTTTTTGAATGGGACGGCAACTGAGGGGACATGATTGCCTCTATGCTGGAACAGGTAACCCTGCTAACTGGCCATTTTAACCAAATGGTACATTTTGCAGACCGAATTACATATCCATATCAGCGATTTCCATTGAAAAGAAAACAACTTTTTGAAATTTTTAAACGGCCATCATTAACGGTGAGGGATTGCATGTCGACTTCTAGATCTCAAGTCCATGCAAAAGCGCATAGGGTATTTAAAGACGTCTAAGAATCTCTGTTAGTTCCTTCAGTTTTATCTTCTGTTATATGTAGTCTCAGCTTTGTGCTGTTAGGCTCATCAGGCCATCATGTTAGTTAATCTTATAGATAAACTGAGAAATTTCGAAGTTTGCTTTGTATGACAAGCTTAGAGTCTAGGAGAGAATGGTCGGTTTTGAAGCAAAAACACAATTGGATTTTGAAGTGTTTCCTAATTTCTGGATACTTAAAATAAACCGAACTTACCCTTGTGAGTGACGATATCAACTTCGACCGTGGGATTTCCGCGGCTGTCCAAAATCTGGCGTGCAGTCACTCGTAAAATAGACATCCTGAGGCGCAAGTGGCTTCGGGCACAATCCGGGTCAACCAGGGAAAATATTCATGGCAGGCGGAATCGATTTTTGACGGTCAGTTTGAATGGTAGTGCACGTGGTCTGGGATATTACCGTTTCTTTAATGATTAAGCACAGGTCAACGAGCTAACTGATCAGAAAAGGGGCTAAAACTCAAATTCATCGCTCGTCAACGGGTTATAAAAGTCTACACGGATGTTCACAACGTTGACAAGTCTTTTTTATGGGTGAGGGGCAAAGAATATATTTGAAAGAATGAAGAATTTTACGGAAGTTGGGTTCTTCCCCAAAACCCTGTCGGTGTAAGAATTGCAGTCGAGCGCGGAGCTTTCAGACGCAGTTTTTGAGGAAGCGTAAATTATTCCGGGAAGAATTGTACCCTTTTACTCTGGCTGTAGCAACAAGCCAGAGAGATTATAAAGCTGGTTTTTATGACGGAACGTTTGGCTTTTCCCACTTGCACTTTTTCCTTTCTCATGAAGTCTGTTTACGAGTTCGAAATTCGCTTGGTACGTCAAAAGATCAACTATTCCGTGTCTATACAGGAAAGGTGAGGACTGGCCATCCCCACCTCGGCGTGGCGTAAAAAAATAACAGACCGGTTGGTGTTTAGCCAATGACGTGTACAGAAATGGTCTTTTGAGATCCCAGTGTCGTCCCAAATTTGCAATCGACTTGAGACCACCTGGAAACTCAATGAGCCACCATTTGTTAAAACATCCGAAGTCAAATGCTAATTTTCAGGAAACCCGTGCTTTCCGGTATTCCGTTAATTTTCTAAACACGGCGCTTTGAACACCTTGACTCTCTGTACAGTGATTGTGTGGAATGAATTAGGAAGCATTTAGCCAGACGAGGGGCTAATACCTGCCACCTCAAAAACGACAGAGATACTACCGACTATTTGTGTCGTCCAAAAACCCAGCTGAGGCTTGTCAAGATCGAGTGAAAAGATCTCACTAGTAAGGCGGTGTAGGTATGGATACAAGGATGTGGCCGAATGACAAGCAATGCACGTTCATAGTAGGTAAGAATTTCGAAGATTCGCAGACAGTCATGCATGCGTTTTTAATAGATTCCTTTCAAATAGACTCAATTCCACAGGAAGATTTCGACTGAGCATATGACTGGGCCAGACTCAGCCACTAGGCCAGTTGCGTGTGTTCTGACGGGTGGAAAATGAAACGAATGCAAGGGTACAGGGAGGAATGGTTAATTCGGCTTGACGATGAAGAAACACAATATTTCCAGCCGAAAGTGGGTGTCTGACTAATAAACCCTTGTTTATGACAACCACAGGCTCTGCGAGAATCCCTTCTGTGCACACAGGAGCGAATGATAGCCAGAGGCTTCGCCGTAAAAATTAATAACTTTTGACGTGAATTCCAGGAGTTATCTGGAAGGGTGCATGGGCGCGCACTTGCTGACTATCGTCTACCAGAGGCGGTGGACTGGGGCTACTTGTTGTTCTTGTTTCTCAAACTATGTTCATGTTTGTTCTTGCAGCGTATTGTAGAAGCATCTACACTTTAGACAGATGTAGGTGGTTGCGTTGAGACGGCTGATAAGTGGTTCTTCATCAAAACGTGCGAAAACAATTTTTGTCGTACCTATGGGTTCACTGGCTGCTGCATCATCTTCATATGTTTAAATTGGTAACTTGTATTTTTCTACAAATCGCTTCCGACGAAGACTGAAAGGCAGCTCTCTGTGTTGGCATCTCTGCTATTCCGAGGCAAAAAAGAACGTCAGAAAACGTGCCAGTATCAATTAACGTGGGCATTGCTTATTTGCCGAATGCCAGTTTTTAGTTTAAACCAACTTGTCCAGTACGATGGGGTAATTTATCAAAAAAGTTAAATCTTCGCGTTCTGGAAGTATCCACAGAGTGCATATTCGAGTTAATTTATTCATTCTGCTGCTAAGCAGAATCTACTGAACCTACGTGACCCATCTTATGAAATGTTGACCAAAATTTTGGAATGCGTTTCCGATTAGGAAGGATTACTTAAGTGGGGTTGTTAGACTGGTTGCATACAGCATAACCCTACAACATTTCGGACTTGCCAGGATGTCGGCTTTTGAATGCACTTCTTTTTGACCTCCTACAGAGATCAGACTCGGTAAAAAATGACTACTTAAATAGCATGCATTTTTCCTATTGATTTACGATGGTCTTATAAATTCAAATATGTTTTATGGAGAACATGCATAAAATATACTTTCTTTTGCTCATTTGGTAGGAAATCACATTGTCTTCATATCTTATGCCTGAGGAAAGTGTGTATTTAGGTTTTAAAAAGGTTCCAAATTCCCGAATAATTTTCAGCCTGATCTGTCATTGCATCAGCGTTTAGCAATTTCAGTCTACAAGGCGCATGCTTTCCGTGTAAAGAAAATCATATACTCCTCTATGCCTTTAAGAAGATACGACATAAAGTTCATGAAATTTTGCAATGGATCCGGACTGTGTTGTACACAGTTGTTGCATAAATCTTAGCACCCGTAAGCGCTTTCTTTTACTCATAGTTAGACAACATTTAATATTATAAATCTATCTGAAAAGCCCCTAGTCCAGAGGTAAATGCTCCAATTTCCGGAGAAACTAGGGTCAGTGTTATGATTAGTGTTGGGACTGAGACTCTTCCTGAAATTTTGCGCACAGTCACCTGCGTTACGGAGAGGGGCGTTCTATTTCCTTGTCATACCGTCTTTATTTGTGAAAAAAGGGCTTTACGATGTGGAAATATTGTTGCCTGCATGCCGATTCCCATAAATAAATCGAAGTTAAGTCTGCCAACATGCATGGGCACGTGTTGATTTTGTCGGGTTACATGTGTGTGACACTTTGGAGACTGCGTCTCAGGCCTTTTCTTTTTACTGCGCGCAGAGCCAAGGAAAAACGCCTACGACGGGATGCCGGGAGGCAAAACTGGTCGGATGCATTCAGCCGAGAGAGCCATGAGCATCCGCTGATCGACAAGTCTGGCCTCATCGCGGATGATGCGACACCCAACAGTTTCGGCTCTCCAGTCCTTCCGGGCGCCGACTCGGAGTACTATGAGCCTGCTGCGGGCGTAACTGGACACCAAGGCGGCACATCCCTTGAAGCCTCCTCCAGCACTCAGACCTTCCACAGCTGCACAGACAGTGGAGCTGACAGCGAGGGTGATTCGAGCAGTCAGTCTGGTGTGTGTTATTACACTGATGCAGCAAAGAGCCACAGAAGTTTCCTGACAGGAATGGAGCAGAGCGAAGAAAGAGGTAATTATTTTCTGACCATCCTAGAGCTAAATTGGTGACTATAGAAACTAATACACTGAGTCAACCTTTGAAAGGGAATGCATATATTGGCAACCGTGTGTGTGTGTTTTCAGTAATGCGTTTCATTTCATTGGGCTTTTCCTGCATCGGCGCTGCGTTGTCGTACTGTGAGTGCTGACGTGAGCATTCGATAAGTCATACTCGATGTACAGTGCGTGACCGATCTAATGAAATGTTGGCCGAAATTCTGGAACGCGTTTCCGATTAGGAAGGATTACTTAAGTGGGGTTGTTATACAGACTATCATGCAGTGCCAGTATCAATTCACGTGGGCATTGCTTATTTGCCGAATGCCAGTTTTTAGTTTAAACCAACTTTTCCAGTCCGATGGAGTAATTTATCAAAAAAGGTTAAATCTTCGCGTTCTGGAAGTATCCGCAGAGTCGAAATTCGAGTTATTTTCTTCATTCTGCTGCTAAGCAGAATCTACTGAATCTACTGAATCTACTCATTTGGTAGGATATAACATTGTTTTCATATTTTTTGCCCGCAGAATTTGTATATTTAGGTTTTAAAGGGTTTCTAATTATGAAAATTTTAAGACCGTGCGATTTCCATGCATGCAAGACCGCTCATGTCCGTTTACTAATGCACCTCATGAAGTGTACAACACAGTCCGCGTCCATTGCAAAATTTCTCGAACTATATATGGTATCGTCCTAAAGGCATGGAGGAATATTTTATTTTCCTTACGCGGAAAGCATGCACCTTGTAGACTGAAATTGCTAAACGCTGATGCAATGGCAGATCAGTCTGGAAATTACTCGGGAATTAGGAAACTTTTTTAAAACCTGAATGCACACTTTCTTCGGGCATAAAATATGAAAACAATGTTATATCCTACCAAATGAGCAAAAGAAAGTATATTTTGTGCATGTTCTCCATAAAATATATTTGAATTTATAAGACCATCGTAAATCAATAGGAAAAATGCATGCTATTTAAGTAGTAATTTTTTACCGAGTGTGGTTTCTGCAGAAGGTAAAAAGGGGTGCACTCAAAAGCCAACATCCTGGCGAGTCCGAAATGTTATATAGTTATGCTGCATGATAGTCACTATTACAACCCCACTTGAGTAATCCTTCCTAATCGGAAACGCGTTCCAGAATTTCGGCCAACATTTCATTAGATCGGTCACGCACTGTACATCGAGTATGACTTATCGAATGCTCACGTCAGCACTCACAGTACGACAACGCAGCGCCGATGCAGGAAAAGCCCAATGAAATGAAAAGCATTACTGAAAACA